ATTATATTGCAACATAATAATATGACTTACAGAGAAACGGTCCTCCCAAGCACGTCACGTAGTTACTGCAGCACATCCAATTAATGTGAGCAACGAATATTTTCAAGCCAATTGTGAATAAGGGCGTCTAGAAAGCAGCACGTTAACATCAGGCCTTTGCCTTTCTTAGTTCGAAGTTTCAACAAAAACATGGTACAACATGTTCCAGGTTGCTGTTGAACGTGCCAAACAAACACAAATGCCAACGCTAATATGCTGCTCGACAGAACATATTTCTTTCCGAATTGCTGCCGAAAGTCAGACACTTTGTTTAATGTAATTGACAATGCCTCAGCAAAAGTGTGACCAAGCTGCATGAAACCCTTAATATCTACATGGGAATACTGCAATACGTTTGAGGAATCGTTATGCGTCTGCTACACCGAGCGTTTTTTTTTTTTTTTTCTTACAGTTTTGTTTAAAAAAAAGTCATGAAAGCTACACTTATCCGATTTGTGCGAGTGAGTTATACGCCCAGGGGGGATTTGGGGGTGGTTAATCTTCGCGATAAGTCGGCTAATTAATTAAAATTCGTTAATTAACTTTTTAATTACTGAAAATAGTCATATGGTTTCAATTAGAAATTTGCTGAGCGTCGTCCAAAACCCCTAAATCAGTAATTTTTAGAAAGAGTTTGGTCGCGTGAAAAGAGCAACAGTGCGCTGAAGTTACTACTCGTGGAGCAGGTACAAGACTGGGGCTAAATAAGAGACAGAAAAATCGCACAGGCGCCTTACCGCGACAGCTAGCTTTGTATGTGCTCCACGAGTTGTAACTTAAATGCACTACTACGCTTCTCACGCGCTGAAAGTCTTTCTAAAAATGACTGATTTAGTGGTTTTTGATAACGCTCAGCAAGTTTCTAATTGGAGCCATATGTCTATTTTCACTAATTAAAAGTTATTTAACAAATTTTAATTAATTAGCCGCGACTAATCGCAAAGATTAGCCACCCACATAATGTCCCCATTGGCGTATAACTCACTCGCAGAAACCGAACAAGTGTAGCTTTCATGGCTTTCTTTAAACAAATCTGTAAGAATAAAAAAAAAACGCCCTGTATATGTACAGTACTCACCAAAGGAACACGCTACTGTATTACCTCTGGAGATTACATCAATCCATGACGTAGCGCACAAAATTGTAGCATTAAGCAACATGTTATAGTCGTCGTTCGGCCACCGACAAGTTAGCACTTTTATGAGGTAATGAACAGTTGGTGTGTTCCTATAGACGATTGCAAGCTGGGCGACTGGCCGCCGCCATGTCTCTGCTCGAGCAGGCACGCCCGTGCGATTACGAGCTTGCCAAAGCTACGTTCACCCGCGCGTTGCACGCGCTTGCACGCATGGGGCACCACTTGTGGCGCCATGCTTGCAATTGTCTATAAGTTTCGGAAACATTGCACATTGCCAAATGAAAACAGAATTTGAACTTTTTTGACTTGTACCATATTATATAATGTAAACGAAATATGTTTCGAGGGCTCCATATTTCCCGATTGAGGTCAAAGTTGAAGTTTTGGAATAATTTGCGGGTTCTAATTTTCACGATGCGGTGGGATCTCAATATAGTTTCCAATGTGTTTATATTTTACCAGAATTGTTCGCGGGACCTTTTTTTTTTCAAATTGTAGGCGATTTGCGAAAATTAGGTTCTTGCGAAAAATAAGTCGATTACAGTCTTCGAAATTTCTAATTTTGAGCCAAATTGGCTTTGCCGGAAATACGTTGAAGAGCACACCATCATTCAAAAGTATGCCAAACTGCTTAGGATGTTGGCAAGGACACGATAACAGATTAGCTACATAATTTATTGCTAACGGCCTATTATGTCATTAACGCTGTCAAAAAGTATTTAGCAGTTATCGCTGTTTCCCAGACAAAAAAATCGCCTATTTATTTCTTCATGAAATGCAATATCCACTAGACAATTCTACCACCTGAAGGAATTAGAACTGTCCATACGATACATTTGTCCAAAGCAAATTCACAGCGCACATTTTCAAGGCACATCTATAGTTACCTCTAAACGAACTTCAACGCTGCTATCAGCTCAGCAGGGTACTTTAGGTATGTGGCGTACATCAGCTCCATGGCAGAGAGGAAGCTGACTCCTTCGAAGCACCTGGTGCCATCCAGTGGCAGTCGAAGATGCTTCTGCCTGAAAAAAAGTCGATTTTTTTAGTCATAAAGGAACGCTGAACCGAACGTTTATGATTTTAACTGTGTTTGAGAGCATTAATACCTAGGACTTCGGGAGTTATAATTGTTTTCAAACATGGCACACCTTTTCAGTTTTTATCTGGGGAGGAGATTCTCAGTTTCTTCCGGTTAACATATATATCCACGAGTTTTATCGCTTTATTCCGGTGATATATACAGTATTTTCCTTTAATTCACAAGGAGAAATCGCACTCCGTTGAGGTGAATGAACTTGATAAGCGATAAAAACAAGTAAAATCCCATCCTCAAAAAAAAAAAAAAAAAAAGTGAACTTGACATTTAAAACCCAATTACAATTCACGAGCATGCTCCTGAATGTGTGAGGCTGCATGCATAACGCGCGACTCTGGTCGCATATTCACGAGCAAGCTCGTGAATTGCGAGGTTGGTTAGGTCATGATGGGGCGAAAATATTTGTTTGAGGAGCTCTACAGTAATTTTTATTGGCAGAGCAAAGCTCTGCCACTATGGCCAGGATTCGGGTCGTCCAATCAAAGAACATCAACGCGCGTCGTGCGTACAGCCACTTCCGGTTGAGCTGCACGACGTCGTGCATGTAGCATTACTCTACATAGAAAGGGTGTCCTCTGGCCATAAGCGGGAGTTCACTCTGAGCATGCGCAGCGTTCAGAGAGCTCCGATGTGGCGTCCAGTGAATACCACCTATTACAATAAAGGTTTCAACTCGACCGGGGTAATTTCGAAGTAAATTCGTTTATCAGAAGCTCAAGTTATTTAGGAAATATCAGTCCTGAAAAAATGGCATTAATTTAGTACGCAAAACGCCCGGAGCATCCGCGGCACGCACACGAGTATTACCACGACGATGATTGATTACTGGCTCAGCGCGGATAAGTTTACTGGGCGACTCAAAATATCGCACGATAATGCGTTACTATTCCTAAGATGCAAAAGCCTGCACTATTTCTATGCATCAAGCAGGTGCCACCCTTATTTCACCGCATATTTAGCAAACTGCCAAGATCGCTCACACGGTCGAGTAGCAGAGGAACGCAGTGCTCCATTATGCTTTCAGACGCATTTAAAAAAAGAAAGTTAAAAACAAGCTCCGTTTCTCAAACGCTGTATTGAGAATATATTACGCTTTCGACCTTATGAAAATACTTCGTTCCTTAAAACATAACTGACCAATGTTCACGCCTTCTAATCCAATCTTCCCTCATCCTCCAATTGCCCCATCCCCCTCCCCGATCAAGCGCTAAACTTTGAACCATGTGAGGTTGAACTTGGCGGCGAAACAAGTTTAATTCGACGCGCTGAAGCACGCATGTTGACAGCGGCTTGGCATAATAATGCGGGAGTACTGCGAAAACTGTGCCCTCCTAGTGCCCAACTACTAAGTAGGAATAATGAATGCTTGGAGTTGGGCTAGTTGGTTTGACATTGATGGTATGCTGCACTGCGTAGTTACGCGGAAAAAAACTGGAGAAATGAAGTTAATGCAGAAGGACAGACAAAAACATGCATGGATTGGCGCAGACTAACAACTGTTTAATTTCTTTCTCTTTTTTCTCCCCCGACCCGTATTTCCAAAATTGCGGCTAAGAAAACGAATGGTTGATGTCTTGAATTTGTTGGCTTCTGAACTTGATGGTGTTTGCTGTAGCTGTCTCTTTGATATACGGACTGGATGGTGTTTTTTTTGTAGCGTTTACCTGGGGCCTGATGTTTGCTCCGACAAGTTTGGTATCTTATTGAGTAGATCTATTTCTTCTTGTCGCAAAGCTAGTGATGGCTCACTGACGCATGCATGGCAATTGTGATTTCACATACACTTCACGACACTGTTAGCGCTGTTAAGAATGGAACCTTCGGCGACCTTCTTCCGAGTTTCAACGCTGCGGAAACGAGTCAAGACG